CATAACGACCTTTCTGGGTGAGTTCCCCCCCCCCCTCTGTTCTTCAAGTCCATGGCTTTAATTTTTACCCATGTACTCTTCATTCCAGCGCACTTTCCTGAGGTCTAGCCACCATTTTAGATGATTTATTGCCTGGCTAAATATTTCATAGACATTTCAAAATCAACTTGTTTCCAAATGAAATTACTACCTTCTTCCCAGTGTTCATCCTCAAAACAAACAATAAACAATCAAACAAGTCTGTTTCATACTTGTGTCCCTACCTGAAGCGATTGATACCAATACCCACTGCAATACTGAAAGTACAAATCTGGGATTCATTTTTTTCTTGAATATAAATCTGGTCATGCGATTCTATTAGTTCCATGGTTTCTCATTACCTAAAGTAAACTGTCAAAACTTCTTGTGTGTCAATCGAGGCATTCCCTGGTCTCTCTATATATTTTCTAGCTTCCTTTCTTGCCGCTTGTCCTCTAGCGATCTGTGATCCATTCTACTTGCAACTTCAATCATTATATTTGTAACATAAGCTTTAGCACCTTATAAATGACCTTCCTCTCTTGTCACACCTTCCCTTTGCGCCAGCATATCTCTGTCTGCCCTGTGGAGTCTTCCTCAACTTCTAAGACTCAGCTGAAGAACATTCTCCCATTTGATGTTTCCCCCATACATAGACATTGATACTTGCCCTCTGAGAATAGTTAGGTGCCTCCCTTTTCTGTTCACATAGAGCTGTGTCCATATATTATAAAACATTCATTATATATAATAATTGTGGTGTATGTCTGTCTCCCTTACTTTACTCCTAGTTCCAGGACAGTAGATAAACTTGTTCATTCACCTACATATTTCCAGAATTTAACAGTGACTGTTCCATGGAGATGCTCTATATAGTATTTTGTTCTAGTGAGTGCATATTTGGAGCGGCCACGTATACCTGGATATATTCCAAGATAGTTGATTGGCACAAACTATGACTTGGGTCCCTATGGTAAATTTCCCTTCCATGGGAATTGGGGCTGCTCCTTGACCCAGTTTGTGTGTAGTTTTTGCAACCTACTTCGGTACTTTTCTTCCTTTCAAACTGATATTCAACTCTTGATATTCAAGAGTTTATTGTCAACTCCATGATTCTAGAAGAATAAACCTTCGGGTAAAGTGTTAAATTACTCATTTAGGAATATGGATTTAGCTGGCTTTGAATTTCATAAAGGTTCATAGACGGATTCCCCCAAAGATGAGCTGTTCAGTCTTAATCTAAGAACACAAGAACTATCTACTAGATAAGCTGAGAGTCTATTCAGTCCAATATTCTAATACATTGCTAACTTCTTTAATTTGCAGCATACTTCTCCATAAAAAGCTGACACGATTCTTTTCATATACCTAAATGCAGCTTACAGATTGTTTTAGTTCACTTTGGCTACTATAACAAAATGTCATACAATAGAAATTTATTTTCCCTAAGTTCTGGAGGCTTTAAGTCTAAGATCAGGGTGCCAGCAAGGTCAGGTTCTGGTGAAGGTCCTCTTCCTGGCTTGCCTTTTGACTGTACACTCACCTAACCTTGCCTTTCTGAATGTTCATGGAAAGAGAACTCTGATGTCTCTTCCTGTATTTATCAGGGCATTGATATCATCATAAGGGTCTCAATCTCATGACCTCATCTAAATCTAATCACCTAAAGTTCTCACATCTATCATCTCACTGAGGCTAGAGCATCACCATATAAATTCCGGGGACACACAAATAATCCATGATATGGATTAAAACACTTTTCTGTTGGTACTTTAAAAATCCATCAGCAGGGCAAATGCTGACTCCAAATACCGTTCTCCTAATAATTTGTCTTTGTTGCTTTTTATACATGGGTATTAAAATAATTGGTATTTTAACAAGCAAGATGTTACTACTTTTTATTATCTCTGATATATTCCCCAAAACATGAATCTCCCTTTATTGCTTACTTTTCATATATGTTTATCCACATTTCTCAACTGTTTTAGTGAAGGCAAACAATATAAGGTCTCTCTCTTTAAAGTTAAAAAAAAAAAAAAGCTGGGCTCTTGGTGCTTTTGGCAATTTTGTTCTAACACAAGTAGCACCCAGATTGTAATTCTGATAAGTATTTCAGTTCTTTCTTGAAAAATTAAATTCACAAAACAATTGATTATCAGTTATAAATGGCAAAAACACCATCTGGTTTTCAAAATTGGTTAAATCCATGCAGCAAGGGGAAAAATAGTTGGAACTTGTAGTTGGCGAGGAGTTCTAGTCCATGGAGCAGAAAATGACGAGCTTTACTATGAGAAAGCCAGAGTAGTCATAACTTGTACTTAGCGGCTGTGGGAATTTGATACGTTCTTCACATGTTCCATATGTTAAATCACTTGGCGACATCGTTAGTGTGAAAGAGCTGGGGGTGGGAGAGGAGCATGGCTAGTGGATAGAGTAGCAACAGCTTAATCCTAAATTCTCACCTCTGATTATTTCTATGGAGATCCCAATGCTAAAGGTGTGCCAGGACTCAGTTTCTGTACCTGGGAAATTGGATGTGTGGGTTCTTTAATCTTATGGCACAGGTGGCGTTTCTGTGGAAATTTCTAAAGCTATTTGCATTCCTCTAGTGAGGTAAGTCATACAGCATTAGCATTTCCTATAGAAATGTCCCATGTTGTTCTTTGCCAACTGGAAATTTGAGTAGGTGTTCACTTGATGTGCCAAGAGAATGAAGAGAGATGAAAACACTCCACATCTTCCAATGTCCCCATACTGTGTTCTGAGTGTGGGAGGAATGGGGCCTGGCTAGATTCTCTTGGAGATTCAGCCTCACGAGGAATGATTTTCCTTAGGAGTATATTGCAATTCTGTTATTTTAAAAAATGTTTCTGGGTTGCTGGCATATTTTCACCTTATGTTAAAAATATAACTATCCTTTGCTTATTATTCATACATTGTAATGCGAAATTTATTCATTCACTTAACAGATACTTATTGAGGCCCAGTACAGCATATTGGTTAATTGCACAGGCTCTATCTGCAACTTAGAAACTGTGAGCTCAGGGTTGTTGCTTAATCTTTCTACCATGTTTAAAAAACATAAAATAGGAGATAATAATAGTATGCACCTTGGAGATTGTTCCAAGGATTAAATGAGATTTTGCATGCAAAATACTAATAAGAACTCAATAAATACAAGAATAGTAGTAATAATAACAGCAAATATTACTATTACTGTGTTCTAGGCCCTGTGCTAGTGTTCCTGGCACATAAGACCTGATTTTATAGTTTCCACATCACTTTCAGCATATGTATATATACCCTCAAATTTTTAATTCTGATTTTGACAGGACTCTGCTTTGCATCATTTCTGAACTAGGCGGCTTCATATCCAGAGGTGATAAAGCATAGGTAAGGTTTGCAGTCTGGACACTTGCATTAGGGCATTTGCAGACCTGGTGACCATGTGGTGTTGGTTTCCTGCCTCATGTGCTGCGATTTGCCTGCTGGAACTCTCCCCACTTCTGGAGGACTGCCTGCAGTTCCTGCATCCGGGCCTGTAATTACAGAGCAGAATATCCAGGGCTGGGAAGACAGGGCAGTATCGAAATTAGTTTATGCATAATGGATAATAGGAGGCTGTTTGAAAGTGTAACTCATTTGGTGGGTTGGCAGATCATGACTTCGTTTTTTATATATTTTATTATTTATTTATTCTTTTTTTTTTAGCAAAAGGAGGTCAGAGGGCTAGAGAAGTCACTGGGTGCAGCTTTTCTATACTATAGCTCAGATTTAGCAATTTACATTCAGTAATCTCTTGGTCATTTAGCCACAGATAATTTGTCATGGTTTGTTTTAGCTGTTGTGATATTGATATTTATTATGCAAATTGTATTTCCTACATCTTATTGTTCTGCATTCTATGAATACTTAAATTATTATAAACCTTTACACTTAATATGGCTCGTCCTTCAATTTGATGCTTGAGCAACAGAGGGTCAGAGCGCACACGATCTTCTAGAGGGGAAGAAAATAAGTAATTAAAAAGCAGACAAACAAGAGAGCCGGCTGCTTGGTTGGAAAGAAAACAAAGGTAATTTGAGGGAGGGAGAGTGAGTCCAAAGATGCAAGTCACTTCAGCAGGAGAACCTCTCCCAGAGACCCGGGAAGCTGAAAGCACCTGTTGGTGTCCAGTCGCTTTAGGAAGGTCTGGGGGAGTAAAGGAGGAGGGAGTGGGTTTGAGTCTTGAGGGAGGAAATGGTAGACCCTTCCTTCTCAGCATGCCCCCTACTCCACACCAGCCTTCCCCCTGAAGCCTTGACAGGGTAGAATTTTTGTTGTGAGCGTTTAATCTTAAATATATTTCACATATGCCACAAATATATTAAACACACACATACATATACATATTAAAACCAGGGAGGAGACCCTTAACAAGCTGGGGAGCCTGAGTGTACCCTCCTCGTTGTGCTTTTCTCGAGAATATACCGTAATGACACGGACTCGAAAATCCCAGAACCCGACTCCACGGTTCCAATCTCTCAACTATCCCCAAGTCCGCCGCTAGGTTGTTGAACAGGCTCTCCCGCTCCGCCGGACGTGCAAAGCACGCATGCACTTCTCCCAGATTGTTTTGTCAATCCGGGGACCTGCATTCTCACTCTCTACTCCCGCACAGCCCGGTTTTCCAAAGATCTATTCCTTCGTGCAAGGTGAGTGACGGAAATTTGCAATGACTGGTTTCCAGGCCAGATGCACACGGTGTACCGGGCAGAGGAACCTCCTAGGGAGGTCCTCCAGTCGACGGTTTGATACGTACAGCGATTGCTGTAAACATTCCTAATAAAGGTGTTCGGGAAGCTAGACCCGCCCCCTGGAGCCTGAACCCCCACACGCCAAGCGCCCTAGAGAACACTTTTTCCTTGATCTGGGGAAAGCGAAGACCGATTTTAACATAAACATATTTGCATACGCCCCTCCCCTTGGCCCCGCCCCTAAGTGGCGCGGGCGCGCCGCCGAACGCCAGCGCCAGGGGGCGGGGTGGGGGTGGGGGTGAGTCCTTCGAGAGCCGGGTTGGGCTCGCGTCGCTGTGATTGGCCTGTTCGGACTCCGCCTTCAGTGCATGTAATTAGCATCTCATTAGTTGTCCGCTCGGGCTCGGGAGGCAGCCACTGCCGCCAGTCTGAGGCAGGTGCCCGACATGGCGAGTGCTGTGCTGCCGAGCGGATCCCAGTGTGCGGCGGCAGCGGCTGTGGCGGCGGCGGCGGCGCCTCCAGGGCTTCGGCTCCGGCTCCTGCTGTTGCTCCTCTCCGCAGCGGCTCTGATCCCCACAGGTAGGTGTTGGTACCGGCCAGTTGGCCCCGAAACCTCCCCAGGCACCCCAGTAGCCGTAGCCATGGAGGGGGGGAAACGTTTCCATGACAACCTCCCCCCACTTCCTAAATCCGAAGCGGAGGGAGTGTGGAGAGAAAACTCCACGGCTGAGATGGAAGGGGCTGAGGGAATCGCTGCTCCCCTTCCCTGCCCGGCTGGTTATGAATGAGAGCCCTCAGGGATGGCTGCACCCACACCTTTTCTCCCTGGCTTGGCGCGAGGTGCGGAGTGGAGTGAGACTGGGGGGCCGGGGGCTAGAGAGTATGGGGGAAGGGGAGGGATCGAAGGCACCCCCAAACCTTCCGGACCCTCTTAAACTCGCTGATGTCCCCGCAACTTGCAGGTCCTCTGGTCTCCCAGGGCTGCCGGTTTGCCCCCACCTCTCCATTGAGCAACTGCCCCCCCGCGCCCGACTTCTCCATCCCCCAAGCCTCCCTATGGCTGACTACCCGCCGCCTCCGGCGTGATTCCTTGCGGGTTCCCAGGACACCTCAGACTTGTCTGTTCTCCTCCGCTCCCCGCGCTCTGCCTCTCTCCGGTCCCCGAACTGCACGTCTCTAGTGTTTCCCTCCGGCCCATCACAGCCCCTCCGCCCCTCTGCTAGGCTGCGGGTCTTCCTGGCCCGGATCCAGGCAGGGAAAGTTCCCCCGGCCCGGCCCCACGGGGGGGCGGTCGCTGTCGCCGCCTCTGCGGGAAGGCGCGGGGAGCCCGCATCCCGCCCGCCCCATGGCGTCCTCCGCCACGAGTGGGGACACCGGATTTCCCGGCAGCTCGTCCTTTCGGCGGCCGGAGGGTGGTGGAGGGCGCGTTCGCGGCCTCTGCGTCCAGGCGGGCTCCCTGTGGGCCTCCGGGCACCCCCCTAGTGGAGAGCAATCTTGGGAATTTGCCCAGGGGCGGCTCTGCACGCCTGGCGCCTTCCCTGAAGACACCGTGCGCTCGGCAGGAGCTCCATGTGTGGCTGCCCGTGTGCCGGGCGCGTTGGCGCGGTCGGGAAAGAAGAGGGCAGTGTTTGCATTTGCTAACAAAAGGGAACCGGAGCTCTTCCCCAGCGGAGAGGCTGGTCGTGCTGCACCCTTGCTTCCCTTCCCGCCGCCTCTTCGCGCTCGGCAGCGGCGCGGCGTCCCCGCGCCCCTGGCCGCCTGCTGTGGGCTCCCTGCGGGCGCAGGGACCGAGTGGCTCCCGGCTACGGGGGACGCGCGGCGGTGCATGAGGGGATGCAGTATGGCTATGCGCCTGCAAAGCCCCTCCTTGAAGCTCGAGAGCTGCAGGACCCGGAGCAACAAGTGGCGGAGGACGCCGAGAGCTCAACCCCCACCTGCGGAGCCCCTGGCCCGGGCGGGCACAGCGCCTTTTTTGCTTGGGCTGTGCCTTTTGTTTACACGCTAGAGGACACACAGTTATGTAAACACCGCAGGAGACACGCTGTAGGAAATGGGGATATCTGGGGGTGCTGGGCTTTGTATTTGGGGGATGGCCGGTTGGTGCTTTTCCCCAAAACAGGCTTACAGAGGATCTCTGCTTGGAGAGTATATCGGGCCGTAGGAGTGAGAGTCTGGCAGCGGCTTCATTCCCAGCGTTGGGGGATTTTTTCTTCCCTGCCAGCGTCTGTCTTCGGATGTTGTTTATATGTTTTCCTCTGTGAATTCTTAATTTATGAGTTTCAAGATAATTGGGTTCAGCCGATGCCGGGTATGGTTACAACTTCATTTCAGGTGATGCCACTGACTGGAGGGGTTCGATAAAATGTTCCTGAAAAAGATCCCTCGTGCTGCTGCATTGTAAAAAGCGCCAGTGTCAGTTAAACGTGAGCGTGAGTAAAGGCTAGGTAACTGGCGCATAATAGAGGCAACAATAGACTTGTATTAGCTGCAAAAAAAGGGGGGAAAGCGCTGGTCGGGGATATTGCCTGAAAATGGGAGCCATGCAATGCCTCTTGGCAGCAGAACTGGATTAGATTAGGCTTCCCATGTCAAACCTGCTCATTGAAGGCACCGGGTAGTAACAACAGTACTTACTATATTTGTAACTATCTTGCGGTGAGAAGTTGCCTTCCCGGCGAGGGATATGTGCTGACTTAGAAAGGAGCGGTCTGATACTCAACTGTGAATGTCAAAGCTACATGAAAATTCTGTTGCCAGTTACCATGGAAGCAGCTTCTTGCTCTTGTGTACATCCCTGTTTGTACTCTGTTTATCAGATTGTGTTCAAATTAGAAAGTAATTGGGTTTGATTTGTAGTGAGGGGACTTTCTTTAATTTTTTATGCGGTTTTTTTTTTTTTTTTGGCTCTAGGTTTGAGAGGGGGGTATGGGCCCAACCCTAAATCCCATATTCTGGTGGTAAATTTCAGGTGGATGCCTAGGGGACTTTTCTTCCTCAGACTTGTTAATGTGATCTGAGAAGCTCCTGATTCCCACTCCCAGGATTAAAGAAACCTGTTGGTGCTGTCTTTGAACTTCATTAGGCTTGTTTCATTTACATCCTTGCTAGGAAAGAGAACTCCAGCCATTAAGCACTGAGTCCTGATTCTTTTTCCCCTGTGAGTGAAGCCATCTATCCTTCTAGAGAAAATCTCCCATCCCTCCTGGTCGTGTTTGGATGAAATGGATGTTCATGAAATGCAGCCAAAATGGTATTGCCTAAGCAGTGTTAATTATGCCTGTTACATTAAAGTGCATGCATGATGTTTTGGATCCTGAATGAACCAGTGGTAGATCACCCTCTCTTACCTTTTTTGGGGATTAGAGAAGATGGCTGATGGGTGGGAGATTTGTGGTGGTGACGGGAAGTCAGGGGCTGAGTTTTGCTTGCCGCAGCCTGTTGGGGCTTGCATCCCAGGGACAGGGACTTTGCAAAAGTGCCGCCCTGCTATTGTTGCCTTTCCCTACATCAAATTGAATAGCCGCAGGAGGGACTTGCACTTGCCTGTGATAGCTTTGATAAAATATCCCTCATTAATGCCACTTTATATTTACAGTGTGTCACTGGAGACGCACAAGGCTTCATTTAGTGACTTGTGTGACGAGACAAGCTTGCATTATTTGCCTGGGACATTTTGGAGGAACAAGAGACCCATTGAGCAATCTTTTGAAATGAACAAATACGAAAAAGGGGGGAATAAAAGAGCAGGCAGTTCTCTGGAACAAAGAGCTTTATTCATATGGATGTTGTACATGCTTTATCCAGTTTTCCCCAGTGGCCCTCCTGGTAAAGGGGAGTGGGACAGGGAAGACGCCAATAAGCAGGACACTTTCGCTTCCTCTCTGGCTTCCTGACTTCAGGAAGGCACCAACTCCAATATTCTTATTGGAGTTGGTGCCTGACTCATTGCCTGCTTCGCTTTCCACTCCCTCAAAAATTCCAGAAGGTAACCGGTTTCTGGTCCCCCCCCCCCCCCCGCCCCAAAATTTCATCAGACGAAAGTGCTAGCTACCTGTTAAGATTGATGATCATTGGAAGATATATTGGTTGAAGGGAAAGAACTGTCACTTTTCTATGACATGTGTCAAGAGGTGGTTGATAGTGAATGTCAGATTGGTAAGATGTCTTGCAATTATAACATTAGCTGTACTATATTTATTTTTGAAGAAATGCTGTAAAAGCTAAAATCCAGAATTTTTATTATCATTAATGATGTTTTGGAGTTTTTGTGACTTTTCCCCATACCTGGTACATTTTAACCTCATATGTAAATGACTTTTTATTACTACTTACCCTACTTTGCTAAATGACTTTTTAGGTTTTGAAAATTGATAATATTACTATGAATATACACGGTCTCATTCTCGTTGGGTTTTTGTATGTTACATTGTAACGCCTTATTTTTCATTTAGAATTTACATTTAAAAATTTTGTGTGCGTTTGCTATTAACAGAAGTCCTGTTTTCATTTGGGGGAATTTCTTAAATGAGGCCAAACTAATTGATACTGTGATTTGAATGGAAAGTGATCAGCATAAGAAAAAATTTGTAAGAAATAAATTCAAAGGATTAAAATGCTGTCTATCTTTCTTGGGAAGAATAGTACTGACCATAATGCTGGGCATTTTTAACAGAAAATCCAGCACAGAAAGGAGAAATCACACAGCGACATCTGTTGCAGAATTGAAAATTTGCTGCTTTGAGTTGGAAGCAATTAGTCCTTGTATAAGCACCTAATGGTATCAGTGTATGTGTGTACTGATACAAATATGTATATGCACATACTTATATATGCATATAGACACAATATACAAAACTCACCCACATACAATATTCATGTTCACATTAAAAATTATTGAATAGAAAATATAACCTTTTCTATTGCATACGTCCTTTTCAAAAATATTAGAGATTCTTGTAATTCTGGAGTTTTTGAAAGGGAAAGGTATTAGAAATCATCTGTGGTTTCAAAATGAGACAGCCGAAGCCCAGAGAAGTAGGGACCTTGTTCACAGCTGAACTGAAGCTGGGTTAGCTACAGATTCTGGATGGAGACAGATCCCTTGATGTCCAGCCAGTGGACCTTTTGTTAAACCTCCTGGCAGGGATGCCCAGTTAGAAATATGGATCGGGGGAGGATGCTACTTCGGCTAAAAATATTTTGTATTCCAAAGGCAGCAAGATTAATTGTTGCTTTAGGTAATAAACCAAAGGATCAGAAGGAATGACCTCTGGGAAGAATGGACCAGATCTTGGTAATGTTGTCTTTGGTGTTGACAAATGATTCTGAAACCTCTGGACATTATTTGGCAGCCACCACGCGAATGTCGTCCAAAGCACCTTCATAGGGGAGAACACCAGGCTTGTATTGCTATAATAAGTCAGATACGTGAAAAGTAGGATTCACAAGACTCAGGTTTCCATTTTTAAGATTTTTATTTCTTTTCAAGGATTAATTTTAACAGTAGAACTGGTTCCATATAACTAAGGAAAAAAGGAATTGTTCTTAAGTTTAAGAACAAGAACATAATTTGATTTTCT